GGGGGGGGGGGGGGGGGGGTACCTTATTTTGGGGTCCTTATAATCGGGATCCTACTATTTAGGGTGCTATATTAGGGTCCCCTATTTTCGGAAACCCCCATTTGGGTTTTCCCTGAAGCCAACAACGGGTGCGAGATCCGGACAAAAGCTTTCCGAGCACAAGCACCCCTCCACAACGGCTTTCCGATTGACTGATCCCTCAGACCGCATGTGTTGAACTTCGCAGCAGAAGGGTTTAGGGCTCAGGTTCGCACTTTCAGGTTTATTGCGCGTTGTTCACTCTGCATATTTCCGGAATATCTCATGGCCGTGGACTGTACATGGCAGATAAGAATTGCATAGAGTTATATGGTATGTCAATGCCGAGGCAATATAGGTGATGAGGCAGGGTCTTACATGGGACCACAATTAGGGGGCACCCTGTTACTCTTCTAGTCATGCTGCTTTGATTTGTTTTGCTTCGCTTGCGCCTGGAAGATGTCTGTGCTGAGCCCGTATCAATCCCTCTCCTACGACCCACAGCCGAAAACCCTATAGTCGCAAATGTTACAACCTCCAGAGGAGCAAGCCTGTTTGATGTCTTCCAAAATAAGACCAGTTTCGCCGTGTGCCTCTGAAAACAGGACTTTACGTTGACGACTTCTCTTCAATCAATGGGTGCGATATTCAGAATCCGAATAAGGGACAGGCTTTAGGGTTTAGGGGACCTTCCAAGGCAGTTTCCAGCACAGACAAAAGAGAGAACTGAGGCTTGATGATCACAGCCTTACGACGCAGAAGCTGGCGGATCTTTTAGAAAGAGACCTTCGCCAGCGACCTTGATGCAGTGGGAGGAATTTGGTTCAGGAATTAGGGACCTTAGGGCTTCGGTTGCACAGTCTTTTGGTGGTGTTAGGATTTAGTGTTTTGAGGGCCTGAGAACTTGTTTTGGATTTGAGGATGACTGAGTACATGATTTGGCTATAGGATTTGTCGTCGTGGGGCTTCGTTAGTTTAATCTCCAGGTCTGCGGCGATCCTTGTTTCAGGAATGAAGCCTTCGCAGATTCCGTAGTGACTTTGCGCGACATGCCGTGCAATACCGCAAGCCTTCCGATTACTAATCAAGATGCTTGAATTCTTACAGATAATTACCAATACTAGTCTCCAGGCTTCCTTATATACAGGTCTACCATAATATACCCTTCAAACCCTGTTCGAATTACTATAAGGGCCCCTACATTACTCTCATCCTACATCCCGCAAGGGTCCCCTAAACCCTAAAACCTACACCCTAAACCGTTCCCGCCATGCTCTAGGAGCATGTATCAGCACAGAATCGTCCGGCCCTTGCTCTGACATTCCCTATGACTCCACTAATCTTATACTTTACTTTAGCGGGCAAGAGGATTATGATGTTCCAACTTTCTGGTTTCTACTGCAAGTACCTATAAACTCCATTGTAGTTCCTTTTATTGGTTTAACTTAGATATTAAGGATTCTATAAGGTATCCCCAAAAAGGAACTACAATGGAGACTACAGGTGTATACTGTATGGACACATGCTAGCACCCTACATCCATGTTCCATATTTCTGGGCTTCACTGTAGGTTTCAAAGTAATCCCCATACTGGCACTTTAAGGGTTGAGTATATACTATACGGGTACATGGAGCCTTAGGGATTACTCTACAGATTGGTTTAAGGCTTGGGCTTGGGGTTGTTCATATGAGAGCCCAATACACTTCTTTTGATTTAAGGAATGCTTCATATACCTTCGCTGACTTTCAGGATGCCTGTAGATGTTCGGGTATCTTGCGTACGTCAATCCAGAGGATGTTGGGCTCCCTGCGAATGTACGCAGACTCCAAAACCTAAGCTCGACAAGCTTGCAATCCTACCACGCCTAAACACTTTGTTACACACCATAACCCCAATCCCCACAAGCCTAAACCCAAAAGGCACTCTAAAACCCCGTAGCCCTAAGCCCTAAAGCAGAGAAAAAACAAGCCCTACTTAAGTCGGAAACCCTGAATGCTGAGGCTTGATAGCAGCGCCTCTCGGATCCTGAAGACGATCTCCGGCGACGTCTTCCCCTGGCTGAACTCAGCTTGCAACAACTTCCACACTCGCGGCTTAGTAGAGTCCGTCATCTTTGCCTCTTTTGGATACTATGATCCTTGTAGAAGCCCAAAGGCCCTGCCAGCAAAGCAAGTAGTGTTTGACTTTTGCCTTTTGGGGCTGGGTGGGTTCTGTAATCCCTATATATACCAGTTGAACCTTTAGGTTCCCGGGAAAACTGGCCAAGCAAGGTGGTCTGGTGTTGCTCCTCCTGCCGAACTTCTCAGACCACTTGTCAAAGTTGGTGGTCGTCCTGAACCATGCAACTTGGAGGCATAGAACCCTACACCCCTAGACCCTATAAACCCTAAACTCCTAAACCCTAGACCCCAAACCCTATAAGCCCTATAAGCCCTATAAACCCTATAAGCCCTATAAGCCCTATAACCCCTAAACCCTAAACCAGGATGAAGCGCGATCAGGGTTCGTAAGCCTACTCTGACGTTCATCCAGATTGAACCCTAAAGCCCGAGCCCTGACGCACTTCTTTGTGCAAAGAGCTGCGAATCCATACGGGACTTTCCGAAAATTAGGGTGCCTTAGTTTGGGGTCCTTATAATACGGATCCTATAATTCAGGGTACTATATTAGGGTCCCCTATCTTCGGAAACCCCCAGACCCCAATCCTCACACAATTAGGGTTGTGGGTTTAGATCCCATGTCATAGGGTTTAGGGTTTAGGGTTTAGGGTTTAGGGTTTAGGGTTTAGTTTCTTTGAGCAGAGATTCGATTGGTATCACCAGCTCAGCAGCAGACCAACTTTTGCAAGGATTGGAGAGTTCTCGGGTACTGTATAGATCCGTTACTCGTCGGCTGAGCAGCCTGAATGAGGTAGTTTGATACCGGGTGCGTATTTGGCATTGGCTTGGTTATTCAGTAATTTACACGACCGGTCGCAGCCATGCGAGAAGGAACAAGAATCCTAAACGCTAAACCCCTAAACCGAAACCCTAAACCCTAAGCCCCTAAACCCTAAACCCTAAACCCCTAAACCCTAAATCCCCTAAACCCTAAATCCCCTAAACCTAAACCCTAAACCCTAAAACTCGAAGCCAAGGTGAAGGCGCTCCTTCCAAGGCTCATCTCACAGCTCGTGTCCCCCTCCGGGCTCGGTTACGACTGCCGCGTCTTCGGCTTGCTTTGTCAGAGGCCTGGGCTGTAGGGTTCAGGGCTTCTAGGGTTTAGGGCTTTTAGGGTTTAGGGCTTATAGGGTTTAGGGCTTATAGGGTTTAGGCTTTAGGGCTTATAGGCTTATAGGGTTTAGGCTTTCGGGCCCATAGGCTTATAGGGTTTAGGGCTTTATGGTTTAGGGCTCATAGGGTTTAGGGCTTTATGGTTTAGGGCTTATAGGGTTTAGGGCTTATAGGGCTTTGGGCTTGTATGGTTTAGGGCTTTATGGTTTAGGGCTTATGAAAGGTTTGGGCTTTAGGGTTTGGGGCTTTAGGGTTTAGGGCTTGTAGGGTTTAGGGCTTAAGGTTTAGGGTTTAGGGTAGAGTGCAGGGCTTTTTGGGGACGTTGAGGACTCTAGGGAGGTTTGGGTTTCGAGACTTTGGGGCTTTAAAAGTGTTTTTTCGGCTTTGATATGCTTTAAGGGGTTCGACAACGGGGTTAAGGGGGGGTCATGGTGAACCGGGGTTTGAGAGGGGTACCATAAAGATTTAGAAATTCAGAGCTCAGGCTTAAGCTCTAGGGACTCTGGGCTTTACAACGATGGCTGTAGTAGGGACCAGCAGCAGCTGCAAACACGTCCAAGATAGCAAACTACACGTGCGAACACACACACACACACACAGACCCTAAACCCTAAACCCTACATGACATGAGCTGAGAGTCCGAGTCCGGCGCCAGTCAGTTCACATTGGCGCTGCAGAGACAAAAACCCTGCGATAATGAAGGCCTCCTAAGAACCAGAGCCGCCGAGTGCCTTGGCGATGAGCAGACGTCCATCAATCTGTCCTGACACACACACACACTCACTCACTCACACACACGCACACACAGAGGGTTTAGGGTTCCCACCAATCAAAGACTTAGTTCTCCAATACCCAACCATTTCTCTGGGGTTCTGACAACTTAGTAGTAATCTGAATTTTGATCATTGTATTTCACTGCCTTATTTGGGTGAGTTTTAAAGAAACAACCGCCGATCGGTGCAGTGCTACCAAGCTCGCGTGCAGGTTTTTGGGCCCCAGATGTTCCGACAGACAGGCCGGACGTGGGCGGTTTTTGAGGGTCCCAGAACATGTAATCAATAGCACTGATCCCCTTAACCCTAGTAAACCCTGAGCCCTAAAACCCAAAACCTAACACTCCAAACCCGAGTCCCTTCAGGTTCGGATCCCAAGCAAGGTTGTGGCTTCAATGTGTCAGACTTCGTCTTCTGCTTACGGCCTCTCAACCTGAACCCTGAACCCCTAAAGCCCCAAACTTCTATAACCACAAGCATCCTTCGGAATATCCGGGGGTGGGGGGTGTTATTTGGGGGATACTGTAGTTCTCCTGTATGTTACTGCAGCTCTGTATGTTACTATGATAAAGCCGGGGAGCCTTGCTTCAAGCCTACTCAGAGACCAATTGAAACCAGCAGCCGCTTCGGTCGGACACGTTGAGACGGGGAGTCGCTCAGTCTCTGACCCTAGACTCCTATACGACAAATAGTCGGGTGGATTCGGGTGAAAGCTCCTAAACCTGTAGGGTTTATAAGGTTTAGGGTTTAGGGTTTCATTGATTGCTTCAAACATACACCCTGAGCTAAACCTCAGGCACCACACCTTGAACTCTGAGCGAGCCTGGGATCCGACACCCCCCCCCAAAAAAAAAGGAGCCAAGTGTTCTCTAGGCCTCAAGCCCTAAAAAGCAGGATTTCAGGGTTCTGGCTGCATTCCTCATGTAGGGGTCGTGTGGCTCTTCGGGGAATAAGCGATGCAAGCTTGGGTTGACTCAGTAACCTTAAGCCCAAAAACCAATAGATCCGTAGGGCCCGCATCCCCAAACCTCTTCATCCTCGACCATGGAGTCATAGCCCAAAAGTCACACCTCGATCCAAAAAAACCCAAGATATCCGCCAAAATCCGCACTAGCCTCCTTGCTCCTTCCCTCTATATAGGAGAGGAGGCCCCGAAGTACCGGAAGCCGTGCCGTCCACACGGAATACCCTGATGTCTTAAAGCCTAAGCCCTAATCCCGAAGACCAAAACCCTGAGCCCGAAATCCCGAACTCGCTGAAGCCGAAGGCACAAGCTCCGTAAAGTCCTAAGAAACCACCAGCACCTGAAAGTACTGATCAGAAAGCCCTAAACCCGAAGGCCCAACCCCGAAATCCTAAAGACTAAACCCACAACCCGAAACCCTAAGCCCGAAAAGCTCAACCCTATAAGCCCTAGACGCACAGGAGCTCCTTCAATTGGCTATGGAGTTGATCTGCAAGTGCAGCAGTACCCGGCCTGAAATTCATTCTTACAGGGTTGAGGGTTTAGGGTTCAGGGGTTCTCGGGCGACCTCCAATCAAGCCTGTTCAAAAAAGGGGTTTAGGGGTTTAGGGTTTCGGGCTTAGGGTTGAGGAGTTTCGGGTTTAGGGCTTAGGGTGTCTATATACGGGTTCTTTGATGTGAGGGCTCTACAAGGGTAGTATAGGGGATTTCGGGCTTTGGGGTTTCGGCTTTGGCGTAGGTGTTTAATTGACCTTTAAGGGTTGAGGCTTTTGCGGTATCTGGC